CATGGGCCGTCGGGCAGGCACATGCGCAATTTCAAAGAACGGCCCTCCTCCCAATCACCTCAATGCTGCAATTGCTCCCTGGACGAGGCCCTATGGCTGGGTGCCGCCAAAGGGAGGGCGGTGCGTGCACGGCTATGTCTCTCCTGGCAAATCCGACCTGTGTCAAGTAGAGACGATGACCGGGGGTTGTGTGGGAATGGACGCCGTGTCATTGGGAGAGGTAGAGACAAGGGGAGGACAAGGGTGTTACAGCATGTCCTCTGATATGCTTGCGGTGAGGATGGTGCGAGACGTGAGACACGCCACGCGCAGGCGTCTCTTCCCCCGCCAGTCATCCAGATTCGAAGAGAACAGAAAACACATGCGCGCGAATCAAGCCGTCACGTGCCGGAAATATCAGGGCAAGAATATCTACGTTTTAGGTGACGCTCCCACGAAAGGTCTATTGCCTCCAGGGTAACCAATGTCGCAACAGCGTCGAGACACCTACACTCGTGAAACCGCCCTCATGCTATGTCGTCCTCTGAGACATCCGACACGCGACCCGTTGCACCCTCTTTGCCTTCCCTGACTTATTTTTTCCCACCCCTTTTCATTTCTCAGTTCTTTGATCGTTCGTACCTGCAACTTCACGCACGAGAACAGTCTCGGAACCCGCGTTGCCGACTTGGCAAGTACTTGGATAAAATAGAGCATGGGGGGAGCAAGTGAGGAATATGAAGGCATAATTGATTGTACCATGCTCCCCGAAAGCGTCAGGAAAGACGCCTGTGTCCTTCTGTCGTCCGCTCCGACAACCATGCCGGACGGGGGGGCGAAGTAGTGCAAGGACGCTTGTTAGCCGAAGATTGCCTCCGACCCGTTTCATCGTCTTTCATTCCAGCTGTTACATACTACATTCTGCCTCATGACATCCCTTTTCAACCGCCCTGGAGAGTCGCGCGATGAAACAAAAGAGGGATAATACAGCGGAAGCCAGGCTTGCTAGTGCACATGCATCTCACCATAGGGATTGAGGAATGCTCAATACGCCTCTTCACTCAAAGCCACTTCTTTATCAACGATCTCTCTACAATATGTTAGAATTTGCATGGATTTAAAAAGTCATGGCTGTATCCTATGAATTTGTAAGTATCAAAAATGCACAAGGACCCCCCTACTGGACACAATACCCGAAGTGTGAGGAGGTCGCCGAATGGGACTTGCATGCCGAGTGTTCTGACTCAACTGCAGGAATCGTAAGACTTGTTTTTCTATACATTTTTGCCGGCTCTTGCTCTTGTCACTCGACGCTAAGCCCGGCCCTGCTGTGAAAAGTTGAGGCGAGCTACCAACGGCAATCGCGAAATTGTCATCTCCATGCAAAAACATCCAGTCAAAGGCACACAAGAGCGTTCCATGAACGTATAAGTTATGACGTCAGCTCAAGGAGGGCATACAGGACGAAACCAAACCATTGAACCCCAGATTAAGAATGGCTTGTCGTTTACCCCTTCACTGGGTTGAGCGTCATGATGATGATGTGACAGCGTCTTTGTTGGAAATGTATGGGAGTTGTCTTCCGTGAAAAACGAGGGCTTGACTGCATTTGTATTGACTCCGGAAAAACGACTTTTTCCGATAACGGACAAAAGTCCGGATCGCTTTATTACGAGAAACACCCACCACCGGTTGGGACACTCGGGAGATTTTCTTTTTTTCAAGCTCCTCTTTGATCATGCATGGCTGCTTGGTGCGTAATAAATTTGCACTGTAAGATGAAAACTTCCCAGGAAGAAACTTTCGCAAGCGAAGATGTGTAGATTTCTCCATTGGGCTCACATATAATGCCAGGGTAAGCTCAGGCACTTTTCGACAATTTCCCCTTTCTTTCCAACCTCACTGTGGAAGATTTGAAGTCTGTTTATGAGAAATTCAATGAAAAATTTATGTTACTTAGAGTACATCGCCTGCGCCGCAACAAAATTAGTTTGATACGCGACGCCCGAGAATATGAGGGCTACCAGGGAGGCGATGGGAAGTAGGGAGTTTGATGTTAACACTTCAAAATCACATGTCCTGGACTGAAAGAAGCGTAGGAGACGGGGAGCGAATGGCAATAAGAAAGTGATGTGATGAGATAATCACGGCTGAAACATGGTAGAAAACAGCTCGTGCAAGAAAGCTCGCCTTGTGTCATATAAAATTTATCGTCAGAAAAGTATTAGAGTCGTAAGGCAAGTACAAAAAATGCTTGTTTACTCTTTTGTCGTCATATTAACTGCTCCTTCCTCCAAGCGTTTTCGTCTCCGCCCTTCCCTTTCCCTCTTCTTCCTCCTCGCGTCATCTTCACCGGACCACCTCCACCTCCACAATGAGCGACTCGTCGAAGCGGCGTCCCATCCGTCGTTTGGCAGCGTACGAGGTCGGACTATCGAACAGAAATGGTATGTGAGGAAAGGAGTGCAAGAAGGTGAAAAAGGGGGATGCAGGAAGAAGGAAGAAGTTCCTGGAGATCACAGAGACGAAGGGTGGGAAAGAGCCTGGGACTGTCAGGCCCTCTGTTGCCCTACTCCCTCTCCCATGAACCCCTCCCCCCCGTCAGGTGAATCACCACCCTCCGAAGATCTCCGCCATCGTATCCACGTGCCTCATCTCCTCTCGACCCCTCCCTCTTCCCCTCCCTTCCTCCCTCCCTCCCTCCCTCCCCCCCCTCGGTCCACACCTGGGGATCCGGGTCATGTCCAGACAATCCTCGGTGTCGGTGATTTTCGTCCCCGGCACGATGAACGCAGCGGCTAAATTGTTCACGTCAGTGTCCTCCAGCACGCCGCAACCCTAAGGATGATAAGATGGGAGGGCGGGGGGCGGAGGGGCGAGGAGAGAGGGAGGGAGGAGGGAAAAAGAAGAGAAAGAAGGGTCAGGATGGAGGGAAGGAAGGGGGTTGTATAAGAATGAGCGCCAGATATCCGGAGACGGGGAGGGAAGCTGGAAGAGGGATGGAAGGGAGAAAAGGAGGGGTCCTGGAAGAGGCAGCTGGCGGGCGCCCGAGGGAAGGTGGCGTGGTGCGGCCGAAGCCCTCTTTTTCGGGCATCTCGGCCATTTCCGGCACTATTCAGACCATAGGCAGTGGATGCACCCCTCCCCGTATTATCCTCCATCTTTCTCCTCTCTTGTTTTCCATTCTAGAGCCATATACCCCCTCTTATCTTCCTCCTTTCCTCCTCCTTCTTTGCCTCCAATCTTCTATTTTGCCCTCCCTCCCTCCCTCTCTCCCTCCCTTCTTCTCTCCCTCCCTCCCTACATACCTTCCCCTTGAACCAGCCTCGTTCTGGCCGCACTAGGATCCGTCGCTTCCCACCCACCCTCATGCCGACTAGACCCGCCTCTTCAAGAGAAAGGAAGGGAGAGAGGGAGAGAGGGAGGAAGGCAGGAAGGCAGGAAGGGAGGAAGATAGGGAGGGAGAGAGGGGAGGAAGGAGGGAGAGAGGGAAGGAGGGAAGGAGGGAAGGAGCGAGGGAGCGAAGGAGGGAGGGAGGGGGGGAAGGAGCGAGG